GGCCAACTTGGTGACCCCCGACGAGAGGTCCTCCTTCCTCTTCTGGAACAGTTCGAGGTCCGCCGCATCCACGTCGTGGTCGGTCGTGAGATCCTCCAGCATATGACTGCAATCGATGATTTTGGCGAAATCCACGTCGCCTGCAACCAAATCCTCGAGCTTGAAAGAGATCGGATGAGCCTTCTCCAGAGGCTGAGGGGGCCCTTGCAGGGCAGCCAGCGTCTCCTTGTAGTCCAAGTCAGCCTGGTCAAGGTGGGCTCGCGACGTACGCAGCGAAGCTTCCGCTTCGATGAGTTGTTCCCGAAGACGCGTGACTCGGCCCAGTTGATGCTCCATCTGCTTCTCCAACTTGCGCACCAAGGCATGAGCCTGCTGCATCTTCGTGTGGTCCGAGACAACAGCGGGCTTCGCGGCCGCCTCCAGATGCTTTGCCATGTCAAGGTACTTGGCGGCCGTCGCAACATCTCCCGCTTTCTGAAGCGACTCGCCCAAGGCCTTAGCCTCAGACGCTGAGATGTCGGGCACTGGTCCCACGGGAAGAGGGGGGGGGCCGCCCGCGGGACCTCCAGCACGCGAATCTCCTTGACGAGCCAGCTCGTCCCACATCGTCTTGTCCCCGCCGTAGTAGCCTTTGCCCTTGCCTTTGCCACAAAGCCCTCGACCACCAGCTTTGCCCCCGCCGTACTGGAAGGACGCCCCCTTGCCACTGACGCCGTACTCAAGCCAGTAACCAGGGGGGCCAGAGGCAGCCCAGCGACCACCAGCAGGAAGCCCAGCACCAGGAAGCAGCCGAGGAAGAGGGTGCGCACAGTGCTTGCAATGCGTGGCATTGACGCTGCTCTTCTTGCAACCACAGGACGGGCATGCGAAGTTCGAGACTTGAGCCTTGCCACGGCGACCTTTAGCAAAAGACCAGCCCTCGTCGCCCTCCTTGACCCAGGGCGCATGAGGGAAAGGGCCTGGCACCATCAGGGAGAGAATCGAAAGAGAATGCTCCAACAGGAGCTCACAGAACGCCAGAAACCTCGTCTGACCAGGCACACGAGGGGCTCAGTGGGGGCCGCAACTCCCCCTTGCCAGTAAGGTCAGGTCCTGAGCCTAAACAGCTCCGGACTTGAGCCAAAATGGCTACGGAGAGGGGGGAAGTCTGCTTCTCTTCAGCGCGAGCTCCTCGCGACAATTCGGGGAAACAGCCGCCAGCCAACGATTTTTCAATGGGGGCGCAAGTGCCGACGAAATTCAATGATATATGGTCCAGGGTCTGGGTCCCCCCCTTATGCTGATGCCATCGGCCCCCCCCCCGCGGGATGGTCCCCCCCCATGTGGGTGTGGTGTGGTGCTGCGGGTGTGGCGTGTGTGGCGTGGACCTGTGGTGCTCCAGGAAAGCTCGGGAGGTCGTCGTCGTCGCTGCCGCCGCCGTCGGAGGGCTCCGGAGGTCAGCGCCGCCGCGGCCGCCGCCGCCGCCGTAGTCGTCGTCGTCGTCGCCGCCGTCGTCGTCGTCGTCGTCGCCGTCGCCGTCGTCGCAGTCGTCGTCGTCGTCGTCGTCGTCGCCGTCGTCGTCGTCGCCGTCGCCGTCGTCGCCGTCGTCGTCGTCGTCGTCGTCGTCGTCGTCGTCGTCGTCGTCGTCGTCGTCGTCGTCGCCGCCGCCGTCGTCGTCGTCGTCGTCGTCGTCGTCGTCCCCCCCCTCTCATCAGGGGGGGAGGGCCCGTGGAGCCCTGGGACCCATCCCATTCGGGGGGGGGGGCCGTGGGCCCGCAGCCCTGGATCGTGTATGGGCGCATGCCCTGACCCGTGCGCAGCCATTTTGGCTCAACCGGGCCGACCAGGGCATCGCTCCTTCCACACGCAAAGCACTACCACGATGACATGCCTCGCAGCTTTGAAAATTGGGGAGAGGAGCGCGGCCATCCGAGAAGAGGGACCCACACCGTCCCGGGGCAGAGCGCGATGGAACGGTCGTGCTTCTGCTCGACGCACGATCGTTCAACATTCAATGACCATGCATGGGGCAGTGCGCGACCGTTGAGCCTTGAGCAATCGCCCCGCCCTGCCACGGGGCAGCCCGGCGAAGGCATCTCCTGCAGCTCCGCCGCGGTGGAGCCGCAGGAGGCCCCTCTCAAGACGGATGCAAGTGGCCACGGAGCCTCCCAAGGATGCCCCCGAGAGGCCCAAGTCTTCCAAAACCTTATCCAATAAAATTTCCGTTGTCGACTTTTAGCTTTTGATCGGCTTCCGAGGCCTCGCGATGGCTCCAAGATGGCCGAAAAGAGCCACAAACGAGGCCCAACACAGCCCCGAGACGGCCTCAAGATCGCCAAAGAACGCCCCATGAGCGCGGGGGGGGCCCAGAGGCGATGTTTCGGGCTCCAGGAGAGCGGCTTTGGCTGACATCCTCCGAAGTGGCCCCAAGAGGACGCTCACGGCCCCGAAGAGGACCCACAGAGACTCCCAAGAGGGATCCACGATGGCCACAAGAGGGCTCCAGATAACTCGGGAGACCCCCGAGATGGCACAAGACATCCCGAAATGACTCCAGGTGGCCTTCAAGACGCCTCAAAGAGGCACGGAGCTCCCTCATACATCCTACTGCTCCTTCCCTTCCGTTTCCTCTCTCTTCCACCTCCTCCTCCTCCTCCTCCTCTTCCTCCTCCTCCTCCTCCTCCTCCTCCTCCTCCTCCCACTGCCCCCGCCGCCCTCTTCATTTTTGTTATCTTTTTCCTCGACGTCGTTAAACAACGACGGTGGCGGCTGAGATGACGACACTGGGAGCCAGGAGGAACCACCACGATTACTCCAGGTATGCCTCCAGGGCGTTCTCAGGACACCAAGAATGCCTCCACGTATGCCTACCATACGCAACAAAACCTTGTAAACATTCGCACGCAATACACATGTAAACACAAGGCTGTTCACAAACACGACTTGTCACCTACAACACGGGTAATCCATTGCAAGTTGTGATGATGCATAAGACTGGTCGTATTCGTTGGATTTAAGTGTGGTCAACCACACGAACTGTAGTTAAAAAGCACCTAAGTCGTTTACACGACGTGCTAAAACAATACTAGTCGTAGACAGGCATGGTCAGACATATAGTTTGCCATATGCAACGTGTATGATATACATGACGAGCCACACACCAGACTGGTCGACGTAACTCGCCTGGGCATCGGTTCTGGATGGGACGCGCGGGCGCACGGAGCGTCACGATCTCAATAATTACACGGGATGGGGGGCGACTCGGTTTAACCACAATCGGCCCGACGAAGACGAGAACAACATAATGTAGGACTGTGAGACATGTCACAACGATTTCAAAACACCTGACTTAACGACCACTTGCACTGTTGAATTACTTGTTCGCGTTGTACCGTGTCAAATGTTGTGCTGTGCTGTGCCGTGCTGAATGCACATGTGCCATGCCGCGATCGTGCTCTACATCGTTGTGGATCGAGTCGGCCTGAGAATTCGAACCCTGACCGAACTGATCTGGATCTTGGGCACGAGCTGCCTGAGCGCATGGCTGGCCCAGAGCTGGTTGCAATCCAAACATGCGTGGCGCTCAGTCAGCTTGTGCTCAAGATCCGAGGCAATGAAGAAACAGGACGAGACGATATGGGTCGCAGGGCGCATGGACGCGCCGCATGGCGCACTAGGGGATGCGCCAGGGGACGTGCCAAGGCACGTATGAATGACGTGCCCTGGACGTATCAGGCACCTGCCGCGGGACGTGCCAATGCGCATGCCATGAGGCGTGCCAGAGGACGTCATGCCAAATGACGTCCCGCAGAACGCACCCGGGGACGTGGCAACGGAAGCGCCAGGTGACGTGGCAAGGGACGCGCCACAGAGCGGGCGGGGGAAACGTCAAGGGACGAGCCAGGGGAGCCCGACAAGACGAGCGAAAGAGCGTGCCACGGCACGCGCCGAGGGGCGTGCCGGGGGCCGTGTCGAGACGCGTTGCGCCAAGGGGCGTTGCAAGGGACGCGCCCACGCACCAAAGGACGCGCCACGGAACTGCCGGGGGGGACGGGCAGGAGGACGCCCAGGCTGCGCTGCGAAATGCGAGGTTCAGCTGCGATGCGCTCTACTGCTTTGTGGATCAGAACCCCTGCTGGGGCCTCCTGATACCTCCAGGGGCCTCCTGGGGCTTCTGATCCCCCTGGGGCTTCTGATCCCCCTGGGGCTTCCAGCGGCCTCCTGCCTTTGCGGCCAGTCCATACTGCCTTTGCGGCCAGTTCTGTGCTGCACAGAAGGAGCTTGAGACCAGTCCATCATAACGCACACAAGCACAACATATGTGATACCAGCGTGTAGGAACATACGTACCACCTTATCTAGACCTCTGTATATGTGTATATGTGTATTTATATCTATATATATAGGTATATAACACGAGCATCCATAAACCACCAAGGATGTGATAACAATCTATAGACACATACGCACGGTCCGCAGGAACATACGGGCACCACAGGCGATGTTTTGAAACCAGTCTACACGAACATGCGTTAAACACGGAGGATCTGACATACATATACAGGAACATACTCAACGTACAAAAGAGTTGAGACCAACCCATACCACCCCTGAAACACGGTGGACTTGACACCAACCCATAGGAACATGCGTAACACCCAAAGGAGTGAAGACAAGTCTATGCGAACAGCCGTACAAATCCAAGGATTGGATACCTGACTGTAGAAACATACGCAAACCACAGTAGGATTCAGACCCGTCCATAGGGCCAACAGGACACCACATAAAAAATCGAGACCAAAGTATACGGGCATGCTTTACACACAATAATTGAAACACGTCAATCCGCCACCGTGCCGCAGGGCACGGAGTGGGCGTTTCCTCGGGTCCTTTGCCTAATTCCTGGGTGCCTGAGTTGCACTGCGTATCGTCGCTCACGATCCTGAGCATCGAATGCTGTCAAGGAGGAGGAGGAGGAGGAGGAGGATGAGGAAGAGGAGGAGGCGGAAGAGAAGGAGGGTGTGGAGAAGTGCACGGGGCGACAGACGACGGCAACTAAGACCACGACTGGACTGAAGCTGGAGTGGCACCGCGCGGCCAGTCCGCGGCAACAACGCATGCTGCCGTGGCCGTCGCGCCGCCTCGCACGACCTCCCGGCAGGAGCTGGCGGAGAGCCTCCGCTGCCGCGGGGCCGAGTCGGACCTGTCCGTGCTGACGGAAGCAGGTGCGCGCGGCAAGCGGCGCCCAGTTGAACAGCGACCCGCAGTGGGCCACCAGCGTGCTTCTCCGCACGCTGCTGGGCCGAGGGGTGCAGCTGGCCGCGTGTCTCCGGCGACATCTCCGGGCGAGGCGGCCCCAGCCGCCTGCCGGCACCTTGCACGGAGCCGCGTGCAGTTCGCTGGATGCTCCAACGAATCTGGCACATCTGGCGGGCAGCTGGCCTCGCAGCCCAGGAGCCAATGACGACCCTGATTCCGTCGGTATGCCGCCCGAACTTTCCAGAGGGATCTCCAGACAATTACACGGACCCGCGGTAGCACCCTGCTTCGGCGGAGGAGTCGAGGCAGTGCACCACCCAATGACTTCTGTCCTGGACTCAACGCGTGTACAGTGCAAAATTCGTGCTGCTAGTAGCACGGACCTGTGGAGCCTCTGAAGCAAATGGCTGCGGAGGTGGGGACGCGCCGCTGCAATCCCGCCCATCCCGTCTGCGCTTGACTGTGTACGCAGCTATCTTGCCAGAAACTGAAGTCAGAACGATCTTCACATTTTTTGGTTGGTGTCCCCGAGGCGGCAACCGCGACGCGCCGCCTTTCCTGGCAAACAACAGGAAGGCCGCGAGAAGAGAGAGAGAGAGAGAGAGAGCGAGAGAGAGAGAAAAAGAGACGAGGAAATAGAGACGCTTGGGATCTGGCTCTGGCCGCGCCCCACCATCCGGGCGCTCAGCAGAGGAGGAAGCCGGCCACAGACGCCAGCAGGGCGAAGATGCTCGCGCCGCGGGCGCGCGCGGAGGACCAGGTGCACTGCAGGCGCTCCATGACGACGGGGCCGATGTTTGTCACGATCTCGTCCGAGGACTCCTGAAGACCAGCAACCTTTGGTGGTTGCCAAACGTGGTGGTGAGAACACCCGGTGGTGAGTTTTGGGCGATTTGGGTTATTGTTTTCGAGCGCTGGCTGGCCCAGGAAACGCAAAACCTCGTGGAGACCGCGTGTCCCCCAACCCGGTGGTGACTTAGAATTATTTTTTTGGGGAATCGGGGTCACCACCGGGTGCCTCACCACCTGGTTTGGAGACCACCAAAACCTGGGTGGTCGCCATAGACATAAAGTCCTTGACGGTGTCGATGACGACCGTCTTCAGGGGGTAGATCTTGCTCATGTGCGGCAGCATCAGCTCGGAGATCTGCCAGAGGTTGTGCAGGCCAGTGTGCATCGTGCTCAATTTGTTGTTATAATCGCTGATGTTCGCCATGACGCTGGAGATCTGACTGCAGGCCTCGGGCAGCGTCGCCTTCGCGAGCTCGCTGGCGTTCACGCGCAGCGGGGCCGCATTTGATCGCAGCTGCTTGATGATGGGCAGGAAGCTCTGGCGGAGCTCCCGGGGCATCACGATGTTGAGGTCCCTGGCGACCTTCTGGGCGTCCGACTGCAGCGCCTTCACCCGGAAGGAGGCCTCGTGGAAGTAGCGCGCCATGAGAAAGGAGAGCTCCACGTCGGAGGCCTTGCTGCTCGCCAACACGAACTTCGACGACTTCCGGCGCGTGATGTTGAGGAAGTCCTGGACGGACCGCGTGATCTCGTCCTTCGCCCTGTTGAGCCGCTTGACGAAGATGGGGTTCTCCACGGCCTGCGGCAGGGCCATGAGCACGTCTACCATGATGCCGAGGGACATCTCCCCGAGCATGCCCTCCGCCTGCTGGCCCTTGGCGCCCATCAGGGCCTGCGCCTTCTTGATCATTGCCTCCTTGGCAGTGCGCTTCTGCTCCTTCAGCGCATTCACCTCCCTCTGCTTGGCGTTCCGGCGCTCCGAGGCGGCCAGGCGGCGATGCTCGGCCTCCCTGCGGAGCTCCTTCATGGCCAGGGTCGCCTCTCTCTTCGCCACGTCCATGGCCCTCTGCTTCTCCTTGAAGAAGACGAGCGCGACCTTGAGCGCCTGCGTCTTCTGCTTGAAGTCAGACTCCAGCAGCGGGATGGCCTCGTCCAGGTTTGTCGTCAAGCTCGCGATGGAACTGTGCGTCCTCGCAGACGACCTGCGCTTCCTGGGCTTGCCGTCCTCAGCTTCGCCCTCGAGAAACTGCTCGAAATAATCCTGGACCTCCTCGTCCACGTCGCCGCTCACGGAGCCCCCCCCGTCCCCGATGGTGACGTCGCGCCGCTGCGCGACCGCCTCGAAGGCCGAGACCCCGGCTCCACTCACGGCGGCGTTCGCAGACGCCGCGGCGAGGCCCACGCACGCGAGCACCTTGGAGAGCATGGCTGGCCAGAAAGGGGGGCGCGCGGAAGAGCTCGTACGGTCAACGGAATCCGCCGGACCAGCCCGCTGGGCTGGCTGGATCCAGAATGGCTTGAGCCAAATGACTACGGACATTCGGAACGATCCTCACATGATGCTCGGAGACTGGGGGCGGATAAATTCTGCCCCCGTGTCGAGCTCGTGGCGGAACCGCAGCCCAGGGGCGGCGCAACATCGCTCCTGCCATTCGCTGGAAGCCGTGCTGCGCCAGGCGGGCCCGAGCGCGCACTGGCGGCCCCTCGACGCGGCCGCTGGCGCCACCACGCAGGGTGCAGTGCGGCGCTCCGCCGCGGCAGCCGAGACGCCCTGGCCGCAGCACGCCGCCACCCTTGTGCTCCTCCTCCTCCTCCCCCTCCTCCTCCTCCTCCTCCTCCTCCTCCTTCTCCTCCTCCTCCTCCCCCTCCCCCTCCTCCTCCTCCTCCTCCCCCTCCTCCTCCTCCTCCTCCTCCTCCTCCTCCTCCTCCGCCTCCTTAGCTGCAGAAAAACCACACATTCCCAACCAGCTCCCCGAATGAACGAGCGCGGGAATGTCGCTCGGAGCTCGACCCGCTGCCACCCTCGGGGACCGTCGCCGTCGTCTGCCTGGACCTATACGCGTTCCGGTTCCTTCGCACCACTGCCTTGCTCGATACCCGCGACTGTTGACCTCGCACTGCTGCGTCAACCTTCGCCGAGATGAACGGTTCGGGGTGGGCAGATCGGCCACTGGCCATCACTGGCCTCTTCGTCTGCTGCGCCGTGCTGCTGCGGACCACTCGCTCCATGAACTCTCTGAACTGCCAATTTTCTGGGTGAGCTTGATGTGGAAAGAGGAGGGCAAGGAGAAGGGAGCAAAGGGAGGAGGAGGAGGAGGAGACCTCGGACGAGGGAGGAGGAGGACAAGAAAACAGAGAGGAGGCATGAGGGGTAGGAGGAACCCATGTGAACTCAAGGCGCGTTGACGATGTTACAATTAACCTTCCCTTCACGTTCCCCCATTTATGGGCCCCAACAGAAGCTTAGACTCATTCCGGGAAATGCCCCGTTAAAAAACAAACGTTTGAGAATCATCAACCGTGCCAAAACATTATTCCTGGGACTTCAGCGCCGCGAATAAACACCGCTGTTGCGTCCTGACAATTCTAAAGCGTGCCAGAACTTCATTCCTGGGACTTCAGCACCGAGAATCAACTAAGTGTTGCGTCCTGACAATCCGAAGTCGTGCCAGAACACCATGTCTGGGACTTCAACCCTACGAATCTCTGAAACTGTTGCAGGCTTTTCAGACGAATGAGAGCGGCGCTCAAGCAAGAGATCCATTTTGAAAACGACCCGCCCTCCATCCTTGAAACTGTTGCAAACTTCTAAGACGAATGAGAAAAACGGCGCTGAGGTGAGAACGCCTTTTGAAAACGACCCGCGCTCCATCCTTGAATCAGTCGCAAGCTTTATAAAGAATAATGTGCGCGGCGCTGATGCGAGAGCCATTCTTTGAACAGGACCCGCCCTCCATCCGTGAAGCTGCTGCGAATTTTCTAAACTAAATGTGTATGGCGCTACGGCAAGAGCTCCGTTCAGAAAACGTCCCGTCCTTCATCGTTGAATATGTGGCGAACTTTCGGAACGAATGTGCGTGGCACTACGGCGAGATCTCCATTTTGAAAACGACATGCCCTCCATCGTTGAAGCTGTTGCGGACTCTTAAAACGCATGTGCGTGGGGCTACGGCGAGAATTCCATTCAGAAACCGTCTCGTCCACCATCCTTGAATCCGCAATGAACTTTTAAGACGAATGTGAGCGGCTCTACGGCGAGAGCTCCATCTTGGAAGCGGCACGCTCTCCATCCTTGAGTCTGTTGCATACTTAAAAAACGATTGTGCGCGGAGCAAGAGCGAGAGCTCCATTACTCCATTTTGACATCGGCCCGTCCTCCATCCTGGAAGCTGTTGCAACATTCAACCTCCAGGGTCGTGAATGATGCAAACGCCCGAGGCGAAACGCCCGGCCCCCCTTGCCGACACACCTGGGGGTGCGACAGGGAGGAGTGACTCATGAGGAGAGCATGTGCAGGGAGGGTGAAGGAGAAGGAGGAGGACGGAGAGGGGGAAATGAACCCTGACCTTCCAGGAGGGCTAAAAAATAGCACCCGACCTAAAAACCTATCCTAGAGCTATTCTACGTCTTGGTTTTAGGCAATTTCGCTCAGTTTTTTAGGTTTTTAGGTCTCCAGTGCTAAAACATAGCTCTCTGGAAGGTCAGGGAAAATGGAGGAGGGGACGAGGGCAGGAGGGACAAGCACGCCGTGCCCGCCCCCGAGGCCGCCCCAGGCAGACGGCGGGCGTGCCTCCTGCAGGCCCTCGTCGGGCCGCTCGGGGAGGAGGGCCTCTTTCCGCTTCGGCCCGCCCTTGAACACTGCGCGCCGCTTCTTGGCGCGCCCGCCCCGCTCCGGGCAGCTCGGCTCGACGGCAACCCGACGCGCGCCAGTGCATTGATTTTGTTGTTACTAGCGTGCTGTTGTGTTTTGCTGTTGCTTTTGTTTGTTGTGTTGTTGAATATTATTACTTCTAAAGAATAATTATTGTTGGGCCCCCTGGTGCACGCCCCCCTCGCCGCGCCTAGGCCGCAGCCACATTTTCATCATTTTCGTAAGGAAGTCTCAGGCAAAACGATGTGTACCAGATCCGGTTGTTTTGTTGACGCCCGCTTTCCCTTGCAAAAAATAAGCTAAAGTGGACATTTCTTGTTCTAACATAACCAAACTTCAAGAATCCCTTGCAACAAACAAGGTAAAGTGGACATTCGCGCGCGCAAGACGAAATCCTTCCAAAACCTTAGTTTTCGTAGCGATTTTAACATAAAAACATCAAAAACACACATATATATATATTATATATAATATATATATATATATATATATTTTAATGGTCAAAATGTCATCCCGCGCGCTCTTGCTGATTCGTAGGAAACCCAACACTTTTTAAACATTTCTGTCAAACGGGCTTTTGCGAGCAACTTTTTCGAACTTCTGCAACAACGGTTGCGCACCTGCCAGGGCCATCATCCCTGTCAAATAATACCATGCGGGACACATTCGTTTTTTCTTCTCGCGCGCACGCCGTCGTCGTCGGCCGCGGGGCCCTGAATAGTAGCCACGGTCGTCCGCATGCCACGAAGTGAAGTGTCCGAACGTCATAGGGCGGGAAGCTGGGTGTGGGTGGTGGCGAAGAGTCGTTTGGAAATTTGGTAGAGCTTGAACCGGCCCCCCCACAAAGTGGGGGTATTGCCCGCCTCCTATGAAAACCCTGGCACTGGTGAGAACGGAGTGTCCCCACGTGCTAGTAATTGTTGTTGTTGTTGTTGTTGTTGTTGTTGTTGTTGTTGTTGTTGTTGTTGTTGTTGTTGTTGTTGTTGTTGTTGTTGTTGTTGTTGTTGTTGTTGTTGAACATTATTTCTTCTAAAGAATAATTATTGTTGGGGCCCCTGGTGCACGGCCCCCCCGCCGCGCCTAGGCCGCAGCCTCATTTTCATCATTTTCGCGAGGAAGTCTCAGGCAAAACGATGTGATCCAGATCCGGTTGTTTTGTTACGATCGGTTTTCCCTTGCAAAAAAAGCTAAAGTGGACATTTCTTGTTCTAACATAACCAAACTTCAAGAATCCCTTGCAAAAAATAAAATAAAGTGGACATTCGCGCGCGCAAGACGAAATCCTTCCAAAACCTTAGTTTTCGTAGCGATTTTAACATAAAAACATCAAAAAACCAATGGTTTTTCAAAAAAATGTCAAATTTCATCCCGCGCGCTCTTGCGGATTCGTAGGAAACCCAACACTTTTTAATCATTTCTGTCAAACGGGCTTTTGCGAGCAACTTTTTCGAACTTCTGCAACAACGGTTGCGCACCTGCCAGGGCCATCATCCCTGTCAAATAATACCATGCGGGACACATTCGTTTTTTCTTCGCGCGCGCACGCCGTCGTCGTCGGCCGCGGGGCCCTGAATAGTAGCCACGGTCGTCCGCATGCCACGAAGTGAAGTGTCCGAACGTCATAGGGCGGGAAGCTGGGTGTGGGTGGTGGCGAAGAGTCGTTTGGAAATTTGGTAGAGCTTGAACCGGCCCCCCCACAAAGTGGGGGTATTGCCCGCCTCCTATGAAAACCCTGGCACTGGTGAGAACGGTGTGTCCCCACGTGCTAGTAATTGTTGTTGTTGTTGTTGTTGTTGTTGTTGTTGTTGTTGTTGTTGTTGTTGTTAGCGTTTTTAGTGTTGCTTTTGTTGTTATTCGCATTTTCGTTTTTGTTTTTGGTTTTATTTTGTTGTTGTTGTTGTTGTTGTTATTGTTGTTGTTAGCGTTTTTTGTGTGACTGTTTTGGTGTTGTTGTTTTTTTGCTGTTGCTCGCGTTTTTGTTTGCAAAGGGTTTTTGCGGGCCCTCAGCGGGCCGCTGGCACACGCCGTGCGCGCCTACGCCGCCCGGGGGGGGGCCTGCTCTCGAGCTTTCTCGGGCCTCGCTCGGGGGGGCGCTCGAGAGAGAGTGAGGCCCATCTCCGCTCCAGGGGCTGCCACACTGCTGGGAGAGCCTATACATGGGAGCCCGTGTGGACCTCCGCGGTCCTATCCTGAGCGTGATGACCAAATGTCGCCCAGATCTCGACCGCCCCTCTTCGCCTTTTCGATCAGATTTCGGTCAACTTTTGCCAACATGTCGACCAAGTCAGAGGAAATCTGGACGAAATCCAGCCACAAGGGATTTTGGGACCCTCTGAGGCTCCCATGAAGAACCACACAACCGCTCCTTATGAAGAACTCCCACTCTGGTGGCCGCTGGTCAAGGTCAATGCGGCCATCCCGCAAGATCTAGGTCGAACAAGAATACTGGGTGCACGTGGCAGCACACTCTCTGCCATAATTATCCCCCCCCTCCCGCCATCACGTGGCATTGGTCTGTGATAGGGCGGCGGGAAGGAAGCAGGTTGTGATGTACGTGCCGACCCACCAGTCCTGTCCTGATAAAAGCACAGTGCAAAGTGAACATGGTAGCCCACATCAGGCACCCTAACCACCCCACCAGTACTTGGGGGTTTGGTTTGACAAGGATGGTCTGTTTAGGTTTAGGGGTTGCATGCGCTTCGCGCGTGCGCGCGGCGCCCTTTCGTGGGAACAAGAAGAAGGCTATGCAATGACAGAAAAGTACTTC